AATTAATTACATAAATCCACATAATACCTTTATTATTGGTTACTAAAGCCTCTCCCCCATAAAGATTTTCTCCCAAATTTAATCGTGGTAAACCTTGTTTTATTTCTGTGTTCAATACTTTAATTCCCATCTTTTTCTTGCAACGAGCAGGAACTGTCACTCTAGTTTGCATTAGTGGAATTTTGATTCCCTTATTATTTATTCGCAAACTGCTGTCAGAAAAACAGAGCGTTGCTCTTTCGTTTCGTAAGAACTGCGCACCTAATATACCGTCGTATTTAATGGGGAAATCTGCACGAATAATCTGAAATTTGCATGTTACGGAATCAAACGTGATTTGAGCTTCGCCAATTGTCTCATCTGACCCTGGGGTAATGCCTCTCAATGAAAAGCGTTTATCTCGATTAATTTTGATACCCGGTTTTAATGCATTTTCTTTCAATAAATTAATATCAGCCCCAGAGTCGACAAGGAGTCAATTTTTCATGTTTATCAAATCATCACTTGTGATAGTGACACAAGGGAGTGTCATCTGTTCAGCTTGATTGGTGTTAATCGATGCTGATTTGAGGGAGTTTTGAGAATTTGACTGAGAATTTTGTCTATTGACATTGTTAGAATTATTATAACGACAATTGCGTGTAGAATACCCAGTCACTTTGCAATTAATACAATAACCCGGTTTATACTGACTGTGACATTGGTTCATCATGTGGCCCGTTTTCCCACAAGCATAACAAATTGTTTGATTTCTCATTGTATTATTACCTGAACTCTGAGTCTGTGTAACATTTACTCTGGCTGATCTGTGTGATCGATTGTGTGGATTATACGGTCCGTGATTTTTATAATGACCATTCTGATGATTTCGCGAATAATTCAGAGAGGGGCGATTGTCCTGGCTTTCTGTGTTGTTTAAAATTTTATTTTGCTCGTGCTTGAAAATATCGTTACGTTGTTCAATCTCTTTTTGTTTTTCAATCGCGATTTTAACTGCTGCTTCGAAATTTATCGGTTTTTCATTTGAAACTTGTGAACTCAACTCACCCCTCAAACCGCGAATAAAACTATCGCGAGCTCCCTCTTGTGTTGTCACCAAAAGCCCGGCTGAAAGTTCAATTGGATATTTCTCTTGAATTAATTCTGTAATTCCTTGAAGAACAACATTTATTCTCGCGACATAATCGATGATTTCTTCTTTCGGTTTTTGATGAATAATTGCCAGTTGACCCTGCCATTGAGAAAATGTCTGGCGAGGTGCAAATGCTTGTTTGAGATTAGCAAAAATACTGTCAAGAGTCAAAGTAGTCTGATTTGCAATATATTTGCTGGCTCTACCGGAAATCTTTGATTTTATCAGTTGTATGAAATAAGTGTGATAAGTCGGTGATGCAAGCGAAACTGCTTGTTTGCACAAATCGATGAAATTGTTTACTGGGATATTGTCTCCATTGAAGTTTGGAATTAAGTTTGAAATATCTTTGATGGACATTGAAGGCAGAGATTCTTGGCTGCTCGTACTCGCTCAATTTCCTGATACTGATTCTGATTGTAACACATTATTTGTGCCATTACTTGAAACATCACTCGCTGAATCTAATGGATCTCTAACATTTCCCGTTTGTACAGATTCCCCCCTTCTTGTACTTCCCCTGGTAGCTCCTCTGACAGGCGGCATTTTACTGTTTAAAATTAAAATTTCCTCAGTGAAATAATTATTTTAAAATTCCTAATAACTGCTTCTATCTTCTAGAAAAACTATCTGAACTGAAAATTTTGTGCTTTCTCTACTAGGCATGGACGAGGCTGCGGCCCGATCAGTGTATCTCGCTACTACTCAGTAAAACCGCAGAAAACCTGAGCAATACCCTGACTTGTCCATCCTCAAAAATGATACTTATTTCTAGACTTACAATTCTTTTACGAATTACAGCTACTCCAATTGGTTCACTTGTCACTATAATTTTCTCTTTGATTCACTAATTGCCCATAAATTTTCACTTCCACTTCGCACTTTATTCTGCTCGATGAATCCTCTGGAAACTGCCTGGCTGCAACCGCCCTGGACCTCTTAGCTGGAACTGCCGGAACTCCGCTTCACTCAACCCCGATGTTGACAGGAAAAATATTTAATTGAATTTAAAAATTCTAATTCCACTTCTGATGAATGCGACTATATATCCCACCGCTGTCACCAATTGTTATGTCCTATCCAAGTTACTAGGAGGACAGTAGCGCCATTTGGAATATTGAGCGCCAAACTTTGAAGTGTGGATCCGTTAGCCGCTAAACCTCTGATGAGGACTCCATCGATGTTGACACGTTCAATGATAGGATAATTGGATTGAAGGTTTATTTATGAATAAATCCAAACACCAGTGCTTAGGAGAGCACATTAACACTTTTATTCAAAATAACTCTTGACTCAAAAATCTAAAACTTGGACTACAAACTGGATGAACTTCTAATAAACTTATAAAAACTCATAAAAACTTTGAAGAAAAACTACTTGAAGAGAGAAGCTTGAAAAGTTGTCGGAACAACAGCCACGATGGGACTGACTTAAACTTAAGTTTTTAATCTAAGGGTTGGCTCAAAACACCAAAAAGACTAGACCAAAAAGTTGCGCGCGCAATCCTGGCCCAGAGGAAAGGGAAGAGGGGTATGCTAAAACAGAAAAGGGGAAATGAAAAGAGGGAGGAAGGGAAAGCGTGCGACGTCGCCAGTTTTTCTCTTGAAGGGTCTCAGGCCTTCCGCGTAGGAATACAATGAACAAAGGAGAACCCAAACACGTGTGGACCACTTGAAACAGAGAAACTTTCGAAATATACCAGAATTGAGATTTTACGATTTTACGACTGTGACCGATGTGTTTATTTTTCTCTCTGAGTTTAGAATTTTCAGGAAAAGCCTTTCTGTAACAAATTTTGGAGAGTAATAAATTGAGAACTCAACTCAAGTACATGACATTTACGATTGCTGGCAACGGTTTTTCTTACACTCGTCAAATTATTTTTTGTCCATTGTTCATTGTCCTCTGTTCGACCGTTTTCTTGGCATTCTCAAATTTCAGACTTTTTTATATTCATTTTGAAATGATAATTCAAATCTCGCGGATTAAAATGGCCGATAAATAGTGCCATCTATAAAATTCAACGTCGGGACGTTACACCTTTCCCCATTCTATAAAAATTAGACTCAACAAGAGTCTAATTTTTCAAACAAGTTTCATGTCTTATTCACATAATTATGAACTATTTAAGCTAATTTACAGCATTAAGTTTACATTTGAATATTGATATAAACAATTATTTACATTCTTATGGTTCTATGTGNCCAGCGACAGCGCTGGTATTTTCTATTAATTTTTTGACCTACGTGTCAATAATAAATGTCGAGAAAAAAGAAAAGACTTTTAGATCATTAGATTCTGCATTCATTATACTATTGATTATAATATGTTCGATTTTACATTCCTGACAATTATTACAAAATGCGAGGAGCTACCGTATTGAGAACCCCTTTCCGGTTATCGACACATTTTTATTCGGGCCCTACCATACCAACAGTTCCGTACGCTCCATCGTAGTCCATGCGCCACCGCTACGAATTTTGCTGTTGAACACTTTACATTGGCCCTGCTGATCTCCCCTATAATCTCTGCTATAATCTCTGGTAATAATCGTCGGGTCCTAAACAACCCTTATCTAATTGATAGTATGATTGATCTTGCTTTTGTGATATTAATCATTGCTCTCCATAAAACTGCATAAAATACCAGTTATAGTACCGAGCGGAGACTCAAAATGGTTGACAAACTCGTAAAAACTTCGACGGAAATTATCCAGAATGACAAAGTGAACGAAATTCGCGAATGCATTTTGTATTCCAACAACGAGAACCAATATTTAGACGTTGTTGAAAATATTCCATGTCCGGAGTTTCAATTCTCGGTGAGTTAAATCAATGTACCACTAATTATTTTTATCATTTGAGTACATTGTGATTTTTGAATTGTTCTTCAGACATTGGCATGTTATATTTGCAATGGATACTATGGACCATGTTTCGAGGAGCCAGTTTGTGCCACTTGTCATGCATTTTTATTCCCAGATTGCATTGGAGTTGCTGGTGTACCTATATTTAGTGAGGTAATATTAATATTATATCAAATTCGTAATAATGTTACGAGCGAAAATATTGGAATAAGTCCCACGAAATCTTAAATTATCGTTGATTAAGTGACGATTGTTTTTACGTTTTTTTTTCATAAAACAGTATGCTTTAATGGAGAAATAAATTGCGTGATAATAATCTTGGAACATTTCTCTGTTTGAGCACATAAGAAGAACGTGAGAAAATTTCGAAGTGTGTCATAAAATCGAATGAAGAAAAAATTCGTACAAATTCCGCACCAAAATATTTTCTACATTGACTGACTGCAATACTATAGTATTTGCCTTTCAATACGTTATAACCATTGGAAAGGTCAATGCATTTCCGTCCTCAAATAATTATAAGGAAGACTCCCACATTTTCTGATGTATTGCCTTACTGGCATACTATCTTAGGAGTGAAGTAGTTTACATGAATAAATCAAAAGATGATGTTCGTAGATGATTTCATCCTTCTCAGAAAAGATTCCCTGATATTTGCTTCTGAATCTATTTATTTCTGAGAAATTTTTAAAATACTCGTCACTTGAATAAAGATGAATTTTTGAGTCATCTATTTTTAATAAGATACCGTAAGGCTGACATTTTCTTGGGAAAAATTACCTTTTACACACAATGGAGACCCTTCATTTTTTTTCAACGTGCAATTTTCATTGAAACCTTTTCTACACCTCCGTAAATTTAGCGAAATCGAGTGATTTGGCGGCCATTTTGAAAACACCTAAATTATGTGCTATTTATGTGCTTTTTTTTTTGGTATCCAAAAATTTTTTTGCTATGCTGGAGTAGTGGAAAATGAGGGGGGGAAAGCGTCGAAACCCATTAAACGCCATAACGGGAATTTTGGTTGGGCGGAGTAGTCCAAAGATGCATGGAAACTTATGTGCTCATCAATATTCGTAAGCATAAATGATTTTTATTGTCAATAGCAACGTGTTGAATTATTTGTTATCAATGAATCTTCTTCTTCTCCTATGTCTACTGAATTGGATTTATAAATGCCTCGAGATTAATGTGCCCATCAATATTAGTTAACAAAAATGATTTTTATGGCAAAAATAGTTGTGTTGTATTTTTTATCACAGACAGACCAAGTCACATGACACAGCTCCCGTATTATGTCTATTAACTTGGACTTATAAATGACTAGAGATTTATGTGCTCATCAATATTAACCAACAAAAATGATTTTTATGGAAAAAATAGTTGTGTTGTATTTTTTATCAAAGACAGACCGAGTCACATGACTTAGGCCCACAGACTAGAATCCTCTTACGCAGTATGTCTATTGACTTGGACTTATCAATGACTGGAGATTTATGCGCTCATCAATATTAACCACCCAAAATGATTTGTACGGGAAAAATAGTTATGTTGTATTTTTTATCAAAGACAGACCGAGTCGCATGATTTAGGCCCACAGACTAGAATCCTCTTACGCAGTATGTCTATTGACTTGGACTTATAAATGACTGTACATTTATATGCTGATCAATATTAGCCAACAACAGTGATTTTTAAATACAAAATAGTTGTGTTGTATTTTTTATCAAAGACAGACCGAGTCGTATGACATTGGCCCTCAGACTAGACACAGCGCATGGATTATGTCTATTGACTTGGACTTAAAAATGACGGGAGATTTATGTGCTCATCAATATTAGCCAATGAAAATGATTTCTATGGAAAAAATAGGGGTGTTGTATTTTTTTATCACGGACAGACCACGTCACATGACACAGCTCCCGTATTATGTCTATTAACTTGGACTTATAAATGACTAGAGATTTATGTGCTAATCAACATCAACCAACAAAAATGAATTTTATGGAAAAAATAGTTGTGTTGTATTTTTTATCAACGACAGACCGAGTCACATGACTTAGGCCCACAGACTAGACACAACGCACGCATTATGTCCATTGACTTGGACTTATAATTGACTAGAGATTTATGTGCTCATCAATATTAGCCAACAAAAATGATTTGTACGGGAAAAATAGTTGTGTTGTATTTTTTATCAAAGACAGACCGAGTCGCATGATTTAGGTCCACAGACTAGACAGAGCGCATGAATTATGTCTATTGACTTGGACTTATAAATGACTGTACATTTATATGCTGATTAATATTAGCCAACAACAGTGATTTTTAAATAAAAAATAGTTGTGTTGTATTTTTTATCAAAGACAGACCGAGCCGCATGATTTAGGCCGACAAACTAGACACACCGCATGAATTATGTCTATTGACTTGGACTTACAAATGACTGTACATTTATATGCTGATCAATATTAGCAAACAACAGTATACCATACCAATATTTTTGCAATAAAAAAGAATTTTGTTTCCTAATATTAATAAACACAAATTTCCAGTCATTTATAGGTCCAAATCAATAGACAGAATGCGTGAGCTGTGTCATGTGAGTTGGTCTGTCGGTGATAGAAAATACGACACCACTATTTTTGGTGTAAAAACCACTGTTGTTGACTAATATTGATGGGCACATAAATCTCGAGACATTTATAAGTCCAAGTCAATAGACATAATTCATGCGCTGAGTAGTCTGTCGGCCTAAGTCATGTGAGTGGGTCTGTCGTTGATAGAAAATACAACACCACGATTTTTTATTTAAAAATCACTGTTGTTGGCTAATATTGATGAGCACATAAATCTCCCGTCATTTTTAAGTCCAAATCAATAGACATAATTCATGCGCTGTGTCTAGTCTGAGGGACTATGTCATGTGACTAGGTCTGTCTTTGATAAAAAAATACAACACCATGATTTTTTATTTAAAAATCACTGTTGTTGGCTAATATTGATGAGCACATAAATCTCCCGTCATTTTTAAGTCCAAATCAATAGACATAATTCATGCGCTGTGTCTAGTCTGAGGGACTATGTCATGTGACTAGGTCTGTCTTTGATAAAAAAATACAACACCATGATTTTTTATTTAAAAATCACTGTTGTTGGCTAATATTGATGAGCATATAAATGTACAGTCATTTAGAAGTCCAAGTCAACAGACATACTGCGTTAGCTGACTCTAGTCTGTGGGCCTAAGTCATGTGACTCGGTCTGTCTTTGATAAAAAATACAACACAACTATTTTTTCCATACAACTCATATTTGTTGGTTAATATTGATGAGCACATAAATCTCTAGTCATTTATAAAATCACTGTTGTTGGCTAATTTTGATGAGCACATAAATCTCCAGTCATTTATAAGTCCAAGTCAATAGACATAATACGTGAGCTGAGTCTAGTCTGTCGGCCTAAGTCCTGTGACTAGGTCTGTCTTTGATAAGAAATACAACACCACTATTTTTGCCATAAAAATCATTTTTGTTGGCTAATATTGATGAGTACAAATCTCTAGTCAATTATAAGTCCCAGTCTTTGATACAAAATACAACACCCCTATTTTTTCCATACAAATCATTTTTGTTGGTTAATATTGATGAGCACATAAATCTGTACTCAATTATAAGTCCAAGTCAATAGACATACTGCTTGAGCGGAGTCTAGTCTGTGAGCCTAAGTCATGTGACTCGGTCTGTCTTTGATAAAAAATACAACACGCCTATTTTTTCCATACAAATCATTTTTGTTGGTTAATATTGATGAGCACATAAATCTGTACTCAATTATAAGTCCAAGTCAATAGACATACTGCTTGAGCGGAGTCTAGTCTGTGAGCCTAAGTCATGTGACTCGGTCTGTCTTTGATAAAAAATACAACGCAACTATTTTGTTCATACAAATCTATTTCATTGGCTAATATTGATGAGCACATAAATCTCTAGTCATTTATAAGCCCAAGTTAATAGACATAATACGGGAGCTGTGTCATGTGACTTGGTCTGTCCTTGATAAAAAATACAACACCATGATTTTTCATTTAAAAATCACTGTTGTTGGTTAATATTGATGGGCACATAAATCTCCAGTCATTTATAAGTCCAAGTCAATAGACATAATTCATGCGCTGTGTCTAGTCTGTGGGCCTAAGTCATGCGACTCGGTCTGTCTTTGACAAAAAATACAACACAACTATTTTTCCCGTACAAATCATTTTGGTTGGTTAATATTGATGAGCACATAAATCTCTAGTCATTTATAAGTCCCAGTCAATAGACATAATGCGTGCGTTGTGTCTAGTGTGTGGGCCTAAGTCATGTGACTCGGTCTGTCTTTGATAAAAAATACAACACCCCTATTGTTTCCATACAAATCATTTTTGTTGATTAATATTGATGAGCACAGAAATCTGTAGTCAATTATAAGTCCAAGTCAATAGACATACTGCGTGAGCGAAGTATAGTCTGTGAGCCTAAGTCATGTGACTCGGTCTGTCTTTGATAAAAAATAAAACGCAACTATTTTTCCCATACAAATCATTTTCATTAGCTATTTATGAGCACATAAATCTCTAGTCAATTGTCAATGGACATAATGCGTGCGCTGTGTTTAGTCTGTGGGCCTAAGTCATGTAACTCGGTCTGTCTTTGATAAAAAATACAACACTACAATTTTTGCCATAAAAATCATTTTTGTTGGTTAATATTGATGGGCATATAAATCTCCAGTCATTTATAAGTCCTAGTCAATAGNTCTTTGATAAAAAATACAACACCCCTATTGTTTCCATACAAATCATTTTTGTTGATTAATATTGATGAGCACAGAAATCTGTAGTCAATTATAAGTCCAAGTCAATAGACATACTGCGTGAGCGAAGTATAGTCTGTGAGCCTAAGTCATGTGACTCGGTCTGTCTTTGATAAAAAATAAAACGCAACTATTTTTCCCATACAAATCATTTTCATTAGCTATTTATGAGCACATAAATCTCTAGTCAATTGTCAATGGACATAATGCGTGCGCTGTGTTTAGTCTGTGGGCCTAAGTCATGTAACTCGGTCTGTCTTTGATAAAAAATACAACACTACAATTTTTGCCATAA